CAGGAAATTTTGCGCATACCTTCAGAAACATGTTTTCTATTTCACATAACAACCGTTGCTCTCAATGCTTTTTTAAAATCGGATGTAGCCCACGATCAAACCAAGTGACCATGTCCACTTCGACCAGAGTCCCTAGCGTAATATTTCTTTCGAGCACTTATACTCGTGTTCATTTCGTTATCGCCTTAGTCCTTCTTCGATTTTGGGGAAGGAATGAAGGTTGCATGGCGGGGATGTTCAAAGATTTCCCACGGCAAGGAATTCCGGAGATCGGTGACCTTTCGAACTGTGTGCACAAGCGCGTTGTTGTGGTGGAAATGGAAGACAGCTCGCTTAAGAAGGCTTGGCTGCTGTCCTTTGATTGCTGGTCTCAGCTTTGTTTGAAGAACCATCTTTTGACAGTCAACAATAACTGTTGTGCCAACGGGAACCTGACAGTTACAAAGCCACACCTTTTTGATCGAAGAGCATGATGTGCGTTACTTCCAAAGCACATTGTTTGCGTCGGGGCTTTCTGGCGTCGTAGCGATCCTGGTTTCTCCATTCTATTGATTGTCTTTTCAGTTCTGCATCAAACGAACGCACACGCGTTTCATCACCTGTTACATGTACGTGTCTTTTAGAAAAAAAAATCTGACCCTCTAATCCTTACGACTTTCAATTCTTACTCCTCCCCTCCCCAATTCAAAGAAGGACCCAGGCGGCAGCGATTTGAAGACGCTGACTGCATTGGACGAAAAAGTGCATGTTATGTCAAAATATAGATAACATGTTGTGTAGCCATGTACACAATTTTATGTCTGTAGACGTAGAAGAAAGATTGTTGGTTTAACAGAACAGGAAACTGACTTTGGGACAGACTTCGTAATCACTTACTCACTCACTCACTTCTTGGCATCAAAAGCAGAACAAAATACCAGACACTGAAGTTCGCAAAAGAACAAATGTCGAAAGTCAGTTTTCTAAGCTCAAACGGATTCAATCTCATTTGACTGGCCATGTCGTAAGAATGCCAAATTTCAGCATCCAAAAGCAGTGCACTCATTGTATTCTATCTTGAGATGTCCTCAGGGAAGTACAAAATTGATGCACAATTTAAAAGAAAGGCGAGATAAAGACACACTGAGAATGAATGTCTCTGAAGTACTTGACTTCAACACTAATCCTTTTACATGATACAGCTTACCTCCCAACAAACCAAGTTGGGGAGCAGCACTTTACAGATACGAGGGATGCAGTAAATCATAACATGAGGCTTCATGAATTGGCAGTGCTGAAGCCAAGCTGCTCACATCCACAAGAGGAAATGGAGCTTTCAAACGTTCATATTGTGGCAAACTTTTTTGGGTCAGAATTGATCTCATCGGCCGTAGAAGAAGCCACAGGCCATCGTGATCCTTATTTCTTCTATTCTCCACTTTGAATCATCATCTGGAGTTGTTGTTGTTGTAATTGTTGTTGTTGTTGTTGTTTTGACGTTTTTGCTGTAGTAATAATAATAATAATAATAATAATGATAAATAATAATGATATAAATAATAATAATAATTATTATAATGATACTACTACTACTACTACTACTACTACTACTACTACTACTACTACTACTACTACTACTACTCTTGTTGT